TGTGACTCAGGGTAGGTTGTTCCAGTCCCTATGGATTTCCTGACATCAAATATTTCCCCACCTTGGACTAGGCAGAGAATTACGTATTGCCATCTTTTGTTAGGCAATACAGCCACAAGGCAGTGTGCCTGTTTCCTTCAGTATCAAGCACAAAAACATTCCTAAGGTTTATGGTACAATTTTCAATCTAAATGCCAATATAATAGCAAGAACCTGAACTGGTCAGTTCACTCACCTGGCTGATATGCCTTAGAGAAATGAGAGACATTTAATCTGCTGAAAGTATTTTCTATATGTATTTTTTCTGCTTAAAAAGATAAAATACGGAATAAAATAGGAGGTGAGAGGGCAACGCTAAATTAGAACAGATATTTTATACATATTTTGCTTTCTAAAGATCACAGGGAAGCCCCATTCCAGTCTATGTGCCTCAGACACACAAAACCAACCAGGCCTCCTTCAGTTACAAGTGCCTGTACCTATCAATCTAGTAGCTGCTGTTCCATTTAAGACTGATGGTATTGTTCTGTCAGAGTAATGAAATGAAAAGTTTTCCCATCATAAACATCTTGCAGGAGTATTATTTAGGTCTTCTTTCCATAATCATGTGGATTACAATCACAATTACTCACAATTAATGCCATGATTGCAGTCTGTGGTAAGAATCCACAAAGAAGACACTTTCTATTCATGCTGAAAAACTTGGTTTCCAAGCTGACTTTTTTAGTCCAGTTTCAGGAATTCTTATGAATAAAAGCCCTTCTCCAAAGAAAGGAAAACTCATTTCAGGTTTTAATAGTATAGAAAGTGATGTAAAGCAACTGCAAACACAACTTTCATCTCCAAAGGATACCAGAATTCATTCAAGTCTCAGCTCTACTTACCATAGCCAGAACAGCTTAAGACATCTTTTTTGAGGTGGGATTATGGAAGCTTAGACTGCAGTTAGTGTGTATAAGTAAGTGCTGAAAGGTTATTTTACTTCCTTCTAATTCCCCAGAAGCACAGAGAAGCATCAGGATAATCAAAGCCACAGCCTCCACACGCAGAGAGCCGCAGGGAACACGAGAGCTGCACTCCCTTTCTCCCCTTCTGAACTGCCATGTAAGGGTGCGGGGTCTCTGGGAAGCAGTCTGAAGTTAAATCTGCAAGACCAAAGCTATGAAAACCCTTCAGACTGGAAGAAGTGGGTGTGCTGCGAAGCTGCCAGCAGGATTAACCCCATGGTGGAGCCCTCCTGCTGCTGACAGTGCAACACCTCTCCCCCCCCAGCACCGACTCCTGAGGCAATAACCCCCACCTGAGCATGGGGGTATGGCTGGCCTCAGGAAAACACAGGGAACATGGCATGGACAGGCCAGAGACACAGCACACCCCACTGCAGCTGGCAGGTCCTCCAGAAACCTTGTCCTGTGCTCAATTGGGTGTCTTGGTATCGCTGTGTGCTCCTGCCACTCACTTCACTCATCCATGGTGCTTAGAAAAAGCAATACAGCTGCTTATTGTTCTGAAAAGATCTATAGGAAAAAAAAAAGGGCTTTGGCAAGGAGGAATTTAGAATTCCACTAGTTAACATCACTGATAATAACAGCATATTCTAACAGGTAGAGAGAAGGAGAAGAGGAAAAGGTTGCTATAGGGAAAGAGCTTCATTTCCCCAGGGAATTACTTCTAAACTTTTCTTTTTCAGTGGTAGGAAGGACCACTGGATAACAGTGTAGATGGACTGTGGCACTAAAACAGCTCACACTTCATGGGAGTTTCTGTAGGGTTACACATGCGCAAGGGTATGGCTCCATCCCAGGGAGTTACGAAAGAGACAAGAACAGAAATCCCTCATCTCTGAACAAAGCCAAGAGATGCACAGGGCAGTGATGCTGAAGGGTGATGGGTAATGGATGAAGAAGGCACCGATGGAGCTCCTGATGAAACTCATGGGAGTAGTACCCTTCTTACCAAGACCTCAGTTGACTCATTTGTGGTAGAACAGTTAATTACCAGTAATTGTTTCTGAGGCTGTCCTCTCCCTCTTGTGTGACTAAAGACATATTCAGCAATGGCATCCTAGGTTCTACAAAAACCACTGCCTGCTTTTGCTTCTTTTGCCAATGTAAAGTATCTGTTTGTGGCTCTGCATCCAATTTCTCCGGTGAGTAAACAGCACTTGTGGTGTGGTGTAACCCAGCCGCACCTCAGCCCCACGCAGCCGCTCACTCCCCCCAGTGGGATGGGGAGAGAATCAGGAGGGGAAATGTGAGAAAACTCCTGGGCTGAGACAAAGGCAGCTCCACAGGTAAAGCAAAAGCTACCTACAGAGTAAAACAAGGAATTCCTTCAGCACTTTGCACAGGCAGGTGGGTGTTCAGCCATCTCCAGGACAGCAGGGCTTCATCACACATAATGGTTACTTGGGAAGACAAACACCATCACTCTGAATGCCCCCCACTTCCTGCCTCTCCCCCAGCTTTATATGCTGAGCATGATGCCCTATGATCTGGAATATCCCTTGGGTTACTCGGGGTCAGCTGTCCCGGCTGTGTCCCCTCCCAGCCCCCTGTGCCCCCCAACCCACCTACTAGTGGGGTGAGGCCTTGATGCTGTGTAAGCACTGCTCAGCAGTAACCAAAACATCAAGGCTGTTTCCAGCACACATCCAAAACACAGCCCATGCCAGCTGCTGTGAAGGGAATTAACTCTCTCCCAGCCAAGCCCAGCACTTGGAAAGGCTTCATAACACTGGCACTACAAAAACTTCTCATTTACAGATGTTCCTAAGGTGCACTATGAGCAGAAAGTCTTGCAGGGGCAGGTATGATTTCAAAGCTCTAACAGTCTCCTCAAAGGGCTGAGGAGCCTCTACACCTCTACACCAGAAAACCTCCGACTTTTTCTGTCATTACAGGGATTGGGACTGTTGATGGCACCTTGGGAGACCTGGCTCTGGCTTGGGAAGTCAATTGGCATGTCCAAATGGACTGACAAGAGCCATCTCAGACCAACGAGCTGTGGCCACAGGATGGGGGGCCAAAAATGCACAGGACACATGGCAATGCCTACGAGTTACAAAATAGGAAGTCTAAGTCTTTGTGATCCAGTTACAGCAGTTAGCAAAGTTAGATCAGCTTTTCAAAGAAGAAAAAAGAAGAAGAGATGGACGGAGGGACAGAGAAAGAGAACAGGCAGGACACTGCTGATGGTACGAAATGACAGCATTGGGAAACGTCTGAAATCGTTGGGTCAGATGCTATGATGCAACACTACCGAGAAGCAGACATAAAATCAACACCTCTGGCATTAATGCCAATCAACAATAAGCATCTCATAGGGAAGAAGAAAGGTGCATTTCAACAATCTAATGAGGAAAATATGACTAAGGAATCACACCCTGTGAGAAAATAATTCTTATTTTTTAATAATGATGACTCAGGCTCAGTAACACAGGCAAAGCAACTGGTTCTGACGGGCAGGTCAGCAGAGAGCTACCAAGAGAAGAACAATCAGAGCTATAAAGATCAAAGTGTTGCATTATCTTCAGCATATCTATGAAAATGGGGGGGGGGGGGGTATCAAGGAGGAGGGTAAATGGTTTTCCACGAGTCTTCAGTCAGCCGCAACACGCATCACAGATCTCATAATCCTTGTGGCTAAGAGAGGGAATGTTGCTCCAGCCACAGCTGCAAACTGTGTGCAAGCGAGATCATAAATGCAGAAAGGAACAGTGAAATCAGCTAGGAATATTGAGATGAAGTCTTATCAAAGGCTCTCATCTAAAGATGCCCCTTGTCTTAAGAGGCTTAACATTTATGTCTTCCAGAAGTTGCAGTGTCAGAGAGACGAGAGAGAGAGTGAGGGGATCCAAAGGGTCCTGAGGGCTGTCTCTGCTATATGAGGATAAAACCCCTACCACCAGTGGATCACAGTCAATCTCAAAACTCTTTCTCTTTTCCATCTAAAGCTTCCTCAATGGAGTCAGCTTCCAGACCCTTTTGCCTTCCATAGATAAAAAGCTCCCCTTAGCTTCCAGCTAAAACACACTCAAACCCAGATGGTGCCTTTCTTATGTGGGGAGCAGGGCTGTCCTTTATCTTACAGAGGCCTGGCAGCTCCTTCCTCGAGAGCAAGCTGATAACCATCTGAGCCTCCATTTTGCTAAGTGGGAAAGAGGAATCCTTTTGCTCTCCTCTCCCAGGACAGAGCCAGTGATGCCTTATCCACCCTACACATCTATTTCAGTGTAAATCCGAGAGTGAGGGGAAATTTGCACAAATCACCACTTCAAAACTCCATCACTGTGTATCTATCACTGTGTGAGACATGAGATTAACTCCTGGAAGTGATACTACCAGAGTTTGGTGACAACAGAAATATCATTGTTTCTACAGAGGTTATTCCATCGAGACTTACCATGAAGCATTCTGAAAGGCAGCACCCAGGGTGAGCTTTCTTTGCAGAGAAGGACCTAAATTCATAGAGATTCCATTTCTAAAAGGGTCACTCACTGGCAGTACTGGAGGTAAAATGGAACAAGACTCACTCTTGGGGTGCCTGAGTTCATATTTCTTCCACACTGAAACTAAAACAGAGTAACTAGGTGGTGCTTTCACCACCTGCTTGCGGACAAAAAATGACTCCAAAGAACAAAGAAGAGCCATTAAAATGAGTCTCTCTCACTAAGTAGCCAGCAACACACTATCTGAAACAAAATCTAACACACAGCCACCCACCTGAAATTACAATGTGTGCTTCAGGTGAATCAGCACACAGACACAATACCTCTGGGGAGGGCTGTCCCAAGCCCCAAAAGAAATTCCCCTTAGCACATCACTTTTGGCATGAGCACTGGGGCTGGCAAACCTCCTGGGAAGCCGGGCTGCCTTCAGCTGACACCCACCCAGCACGCTATAAATGCCCTCAGCGAGGACACAGCCTGCAGTCGCACAGTCTCCATCAAGCTTGCAACGGGCTTTGCATTTGGGGCCGGATCTCTGATTCCTTCCACCATGAGCTGCAGCATCAAGAGAACATCCAGCACCTCGTACCGCAGCGGCGGCGGTGGCGGTGCCTGCGGTGGCGGGAGCGGCCGCAGCTCCTCCGTCTCCTGCAGGCGCTACGCCTCCTCCGTCGTCGGCGGGGGCAGCTATGGGGGGGGAGCGTGTGGCACTGTCTATGGTGGGGGCATGAGCGCAGGCAGCCTCACTGGGGGCTTTGGGGGTTGCATGGGGGGGGGCTTTGGTGGCGGTTTTGGGGGAAGCTTTGGTGCCGGAGGGGACCTCCTGCTCAGCGGCAATGAGAAGGTCACCATGCAGAACCTCAATGACCGCCTGGCCGCCTACCTGGACAAGGTGCGAAGGCTGGAGGAAGAAAATGCTCAGCTGGAGCACCACATCCGGGAGTGGTACAGGAAACAAGCTCCCGGCGTTTCGAAGGACTACAGCTCCTATTACCAGACCATTGAACAACTCCAGAACCAGGTAGGACAGCACCAGTAACCAGCTGGAAGGACCAAGGTCTGCCCTTACAATCAGCTTTGTTTTTAAATGAGACAGATTACAGCATCAGGGACAGTGTATAAGGATGGTTCCTTATACACGCAGAGTGAAGAAGCCCAGAGAATGGGGCATCTCCCAGCACAAAAGTTCTTCTATTCTTTCCCCATCAATATATTCTTTCACTAGAATGTTTGGGGAAGCCAAAACCTTGTACACACCGGTTCCTGCGGTATGGCATAACTTTCTGCGGGCCCTGTGTAACCGCAGGAAACAACTCCAAGACCCTCAACAACACCCTGATAAAATTTGGGCCTCCTTTCTTCTCCTCCTGGAAGTCTGGGACACAGAAAGACTTCTCTCCATCTTTTCCTTTTGTAGATCATTGCTGCCACTGTAGAGAATAACAAAATGGTTCTGGACATTGATAACAGCAAGATGACAGCTGATGACTTCCGGATGAAGTGAGTATCTCTCTGGAACCTTCCATGTCATTTCATGAATCTTAAGGGATTCCTGAAAGCAGGGCATGAAACCCTGTCCCGGGTGGTGTGATCAAGCCTACACACAGTAATGAAATGAATGTGTAATGCTGCTTCTTTTCTTTTGTGCAGGTATGAGAATGAGTTGGTAATCCGTCAGACTGTGGAGGCTGACATTAATGGCTTGAGAAACATCCTGGATGATCTCACTCGCACTCGGTCTTCCCTGGAATCTGAGCTCGAGGTCCTGAAGGATGAGCTGATTGCTCTTAAGAGAAACCATGAGGAGGTACGATTCTTCAGGGTTCCCAAAGTCACATATCAGAGCAATTCAGCCTAATCTCATGTGATTGTCATTCCTTTGTGCCTTCACACTGCTCTCACCACAGACCCCAACACAAGCAATGACCGGCCTCTTTGCTTCTCTCTTCACTCACTCTGCAGGAGATGAGGCAGCTGCAGTCTCAGACTGGAGGTGATGTGAGTGTGGAGGTCAATGCTGCCCCTGGACAAGACCTCACCAAGATACTGAATGACCTGAGGAACGAATACGAGCAGATCATTGACAAGAACCGCAGAGAGGTGGAGCAGTGGTATGAAGTCAAGGTATGTAGCAATGACTACTCCCATGATGAAGCACGGATGTAGCTCTGATGTAGGTAGCAGTGACTAGGGCAAAGGGGGGTGGAATGTCAGGATCTATGGAGCAATGACTCAGATGAATCCATGAGGACAGGCTGAAAGGGAGAGCCTCCCTGGCTGTCCAGCCTCTCAGTCAGCCAGCCTGCCCACTGAAGGGACTTTCTCACCCACAAACTGTGCTGGGCTTTGCCTCCTGCAGATCGAAGAAGTCAACCGTGAGGTCACTTCGAGCAGCCAGGACATCCAGACAAGCAGCCAACAGCTCACGGAGCTGAGGCGTGAAATGCAGAACCTGGAGATCGAGCTGCAGGCGCAGCTCAGCACGGTACGTGGGCCACGGTGCCTGAGGGCACTTCCCTCCTCCCAGCGGGCACGGGCACAGCTCTGGTCCTCAACTCCTGCATTCCCACTTGCAGAAAGGCTCTCTGGAGAACTCCTTGGCAGAAACCGAATCTCGCTACGGCTGCCTGCTGCAACAGATCCAAGGGCAGATCAACTCTGTAGAGGAGGAGCTGGCCAGCATCCGCTGTGAGATGGAGAGTCAGAACCAGGAGTACAAGATGCTCCTGGGCATCAAGACCCGCCTGGAGCAGGAGATTGCTCAGTACCGGGCTCTGCTGCAGGAGGGACAGCAGGACATTGTGTATGTATTCTGTTTGCAAATAAGGGCATAAATCCTACTACAACTTTTTCTTTACTGGGACTCACAGAAGACAGAGCAGAATTTTACCAGTCTGTAGCTGAAATCTAAATACAACAGATATATTCTCAGGATCTGCACTGAAATGTGTATAACATAAACTTACTAAGCTCATCAAATACAGAGGAAAACACAGAGCACAGTTAGTGACATGTTCAGTTAATCTGTTCCTTTTGGCCTCTTTTGTGCAGAGTGATTCCTTCAGAGGAAAACCAAACTGTCCTGTACTGCCTTCTATAAGCAGATGGGCAAGCACAGCTGGGCTGTGAAAGCATAAGAGTTATTTCTACAGTCTTTTGTTACTTCTGCTTCTACCACTTTCTAGGAAAATAGAGCTGAAGGGAACAGAATATGCAATATAAAGAAATATTGGCAAGGTCCAGGAAAGGCCGAGCTGTTACCTGCACAGCAGCTCTTTGTGAATGTATTTATCATTCCCCTCATTAAAACTCCTTTCCTTGCACAGAACATCTCAAGGAGCTCTCCAAGGAGGGGGAATGTCCTCCCACACTTCTTATTCTACTTCCTACTCTCATGGGCAATCCAGTGATAAGGCAGGTAAGAAACACGTTCCAAAGAGGATCCTAATTTATCCTGCTTCCCTGGCTTTCATATTTTTGCTTCATCCCTTTTCCTGCTGGTACTACCCCTTTTGCAATCACAATGGGGATTAAAGCATTCACAACCAAATCTCTTAATTTCAAGGTGTCTTAGCTGCAGTTACAGGAGCAAGCTAAGCTGCTTTCCCAGGCTTTTGGTAACAGAGATGGACACTTAAATACTGGATACATTTGAAATGTCAGTGCTGCAAGAGACTCTTGATTTCCCCATCAGAGTAATGCTTTCTTCTTTCATTCCACAGGGCAGTCACGAGTGTATTAAGACACCACCGATGCACTGGTCTTCCCTGATTGAAGAAGTCACCAGAGCACCAGACACAGCAGCACTGCTCCCCTGCCCAGCACACACTGCCCTGCACACGTTACCCCTGAAGTCAAGATGAACCATTTCTAGGACTCTCCTAAAATTATTTCCTTTTTCCTTTTATACTGTGCTTCATGTGCAGCCACCATATGTACATGCACTTCTCCGCAGTGCAGTTGGTGATCTACTTTCTGCCTCTAATAAAACTTTACTCTTCTGCAATGCAAAGAAAACTGTGTCCGACAATCTCTTTGGTATATTAATATTGTATTTAAATGATACATATCTTCAGGGAGAAATTAAGGCTGGGTGTATATGTCAGATGGTCGCAAAGAAATGTGTGAATCCTAACTCCATCAGATGATGTAGGGATAAAAGATCAGAGGAACGAATACATTCACGTTAAACTCAAGAGTGACACCTGTAGGAAGAACAAGGGATGGGTAAAGCCCCTTTTCAGAGTGCACCATCGCAAGGGCTGTGCAAGTCCCTGCTCTGCCGGTTCAGCAGCTGATCTGAAACAATGAGGATACATTAACCCCAACCTTTCACGCAATTTTTGTCAAATCAAAACCATTTTCACTTGGGTCACTGAAGGAGGAATCAGTCCTCTCCTGGCAGCTTCCAGACGAGGGCTCTTCCTAAACTTGTTCAATAAAAGCAAAGGATTTGTTCAGGAAATGGGCGATGAGTGGAAGAAAGAAGCTCTCCTTATAACACTAAGTTCCAGTGTTAGGATGATTCCTCCTGACATGTCGGATGATCTGGGCTCAGGTCTTTTATCTGCTGATTCAAAATAAAGGAACTGTGTTCTCTTACTGCCTAGGCCAGTATACCCAGCTCCACGGTTCTAGTGCTCTGGAGGGATGGCTGGAGGGTGGCAGGGTAGAGGCAAGGCTCAACCATTCCTACTAAATCTGCTCCCCTTCCCGTAACACATTGACATTCTTTGGGCTCAGCAGGGGAAGACAAATGGGTGCAATATCCCACTCAAACCCCACAAATCCCTGTTTCACCCTTTGATCTGCAGTGGGAGAAAGCAGCTGAACAGGGTCCACCACCTCTGGGTGAGTGACTCAGCTGCCCAGGAACGCAGGGTGGGTCTCACAAGCTTCGTTGTTCTCTGAGCAGCACAAGAAGCAATTTTTTATTCTGCCCAATAGCTTTTCCCTTGCCCATGGGTTTGCAAACAGGTTCAGGTCACGGAAAACATCACCACCTTGGATAATTTATTTAAAAAGGCATCAAACTCTCTACATGTTACAAACCAAAGCTGAATCTTCAGCACAGCAGTGAAGAGAGATGAGTCAGAGAAACTATTTCCCTAGAAAACAAAGGAGATTTGTAAAGTCAAAGCAAAAATGCCCCTCCCGTGAGTCACAGCAGGACTCATGCTCTGACCAAGCTAACAGAGGCTCATCTTCTGCTTTATGCTCCATGTTACTTCTCGTATCAACCAGGGCTGATTACCTCAAAACCCAGGCCTAAACCTCAGCATCAGCCAGCTAGAATGGACTGTGGGATGAAATAGCTTCTCTGACCATAGCTGGAAAAGAAAGAACATTTCTGATCCCAGAAAGGAGCTGGGCTGAGCCGAGCCAAGCACACCAGCCTCCGGCTTTCCTTTGGCTTTACTTGGTGGAGTTACTAGTCAGGACTTACCAGGGCATAGTCTGCTCACTGTAATATCAAACCCCATCACGACAAGACAGAGTGAGCTGGAATCAGTCTGCATTGGCAGCGTTGACTCCAGGGAATGCAGTTCTGCTCCCCTGACTAACCCCACAGGAGAACGCAGTACAAGCTGAGTCAGCCAGAGTGTGGCGGTTCCCACAGCATCCTCTAGTGACAAATACAGAGAACATACCACAGGATTTGGGACAGAAACTGTCCAAAACAGTCTCAAAGTTAAATTCAGGCTTCAGACCTGGGAAGCAGTTGAACAGCTCAAATAAGAATAAAATTGATATGTTTTTCAACATTGTGACACCAGAGGAGGTAATAAACCAAATGGACATTAAAAAGGTTAGAAATTAACTCATTACAAGGGCCAGGGAAAAGAAAAGGAAACACACGTTTCACATAATTCTGTCTGAAGGTTTTGAGTTAATTCCATACGAAATCAGTAAACTCAGGTTCCATCCAAACCTCCTGGATTGTCCTTTCATGCATTGAGTTAGCCTTGAATTTGCTTTGTGTCCGTTTTCAACTCATTTAGCAGCAACAGGGCCTGGTGCAGCCAGCCAGGAGCATGGCAAGGAGCAGGAGTTTGTTAAGGATGAAGTTGAATTAAATGCTGTTGTGTTTTAAAAGGAGGCCTGTAGGGGGGACTGTGGAGATACCGACACTTGGTGCTGTCACCATTGCCAAAGGTTGTGGACGTTATAATCTTTGGGTGTGTTTGAGTTTCTTAATTCTGGAAATTAATCATCCCCACCTGCACAATGCAACAACTTCAGGAGGTTTGATGAAGATGACAGGGGGAAATAAAGAAGAAACCAAACCGAGAACCTGCTGAATTCTCTGAGGGGCTCACGCTGGATGGGGCCATGCAGGACCTAGTGCCACGGGAATGCTGCTGTTTCCAAAGGCTGACAGGCACAGCAGCCTGCTGCTCCGGGGTCTCGCAGCTTTGTCTCCTGCACTCCTGGCTCCAAGGACATGGTACCCCCAGGCACAGCCTGGCCAGGCTCCTCCACTCCACTCAGCCCTTGCAGGGCAGGGTCCCCCCTGCACCTCCCACGTCAAGGGATGGAAACCGAATCTGATTGACTGGGCTTCTGGTGAAAAATCAGGTGAGAGGAAGCTACTTCTGTGATACTCCTCACAGTTACCAGCCTACCATCATGAAAACAGCAGCAGGAAGTTAAGCGAGTACAAACCTTCCTGTAGGAAAACCCTTTCTGTGTTCCAAGTAAGACATTTCTATGAAGTTCCATGTAATACAAAACATCCCAACAAACCTCCACATTTCTTAAGTATTCTCAGCCTATGACAGACATCGAGAGCAAACGCTCTCTGTGAACAAAGAGCAAATGCTCTCTACAGTGAACGTGCAGCTCTAAGAGTGCTGGGGCTGACTCCCCTGACTGGTTTAGTGCTGCCTAAAGAGAAGTTTATGGAGGCTGCAATTACTCCTAATGAGCCACATTTAGGAGCCCACGCTCGGAGCTGCCGTGCGAAGGTTGGCTCCAGGGAACACCTTTCCCCTGGCACACTCTCCAGCCCTGGCAGCCGGAGCCAGGCTGTGGATCAAAGGCGCTCACAGCCTTATTCACACAACGTTTCTGCCGTGAGTTCACTTCTCTCCCACAACCCCACGTCACACTGTCAGAAGTTACAGCAGCACCAGAAAGTTCATGGTGATTCCACACAAAGATTTTAAACAAATGCCGATGCTTCCTTTCTGTTGAAAATGCTCTTAGGAATCACGTCAGCAGAATCTGAGAGGTTATACTAGTTATTAAAGATGAACCCATTAGAAAAGAGTGAAAAGGCACTAAGCAGGTATTCCAGTCAGCTTGATTTGGGGGTGATGGGCTGCCCCAAACATCTAGGCAGCCAATGCAGACCTTACTTTGTGCTTAAAGAAAGATTTAAAGCTAAATCCAAGTGTCTGAGGCTGCTGGAAAACCACAGGTCTCAGTGCCAGGGCTGCCCAAGAAGGGAATGCACCCAAAACACACTGACTGTGACACTGCCTGTAAACTACTCCTGTTTGAAAACAGAGCAGACTGTTCAGCACAGTTAGAAATCCCCCTTCCTGTCCCCAGGGGTGTGCGCCCACACTGGGCTGACACCCCAGGGCTGCTGAACACGTTTCCTGTGAGCTGGCAGTCACCAGGAGAAAAGCTGGTTTAAAACAGCTCCCTGGCAGCAGCTCCTCGAACCAGTGGCTCCACGACTTGCTCTCATAGAGCAACAGAGCTGGGTTTTCTCACTGAACCTAACAGAGATCTGGAGACTTAAGAGTTTCCCTCAAGCAAAAGCCAGTCTGAAACCACTGCAGGATCAGCAGAGCCCCAGCCCAGCTGAGAGGATCCATCAACAGGGTACAAAGAGCTCCTCATTTCTCACGTTTCATACTCACACAGCAAAATCTCTTCCCTTACTGGAAGCTGTGGATTGTCACAATGACCAAACTATGCTCTCATAAAATTATTAAAAGAAATAATAACACATGGGCATATGAATACAAATCTATGCAAATCTATGAACCCATAGCCATAGATCTAAATAATGAAAACACAAGTGTGCTCTCCACATGCTTTACAGACACAAACGGAATAAAGCAGCTCATCTCTCTGTGTATGAATCCAGCCTGCTCTGTGTTTCTAGCAAGTCTGGGATTATATTTTGTTTAGCAGGAATTTTCCATGTGGCCTATGGGAACCCCCGCCCCGGGGCCCTCCTGCATGTGAATCAGGCAGCCCTGCAGCTGGCCCAGCCAGCATCCAACACGGACTTGCTTCCTCTGAAGCCAGGGACAGGTTCAGTCTATTTGCTTTTGGCACTGCCTGTTGAGCTGCCTGCAGAAACCTGACTTTTGGAACCCGGCCTCTCAGCAGTTAGACCTTGGACTCAATAGTAGTTTCCAGCCCCATCATACCTTGCTGAGATGTACCAGCCAGATAACAGCATAAAGGAAGTATAAAAATACAGCCAGTGACTTATCTTTCATTCATCTGAGCATGGTGTCTTAACTGATCCTTTCTTCCCACACCAGTTTTAAACCTGCTAGAAGAAAATCTGCTTCCTTTCCTAGCTCAGGTACCTCACCCCCTGATATGCACTACAATTATAGTTCTGGATTGAGAGGGAAGTCAAGAGTTTAAAGGTATTTCTGTTTCTAGGGAAACAGAGACAACACT